ATTAAAAATATAGTATGTAATATAGAATATAATATTTTAAAGTACATGTTATGCATGCAGAGAGTACTCTCTAATATAGATGCATCTAAGCTGTAACAAACGTGTTGTATCTGTAACTGTCTAAATGTCACATTGCAATTTATTTTGAAGGTATGATTTAAAGGACACATCTAAAATTACACTTGTTGATGTACAGTTACTTGCCGCTATGGGGCCTCCAGGCGGTGGGAGGAATCCTGTTACTCCTCGATTTTTGCGACACTTCAACGTTTGCACTATTAATTCTTTTAGTGATGAAACAATGGTCCGCATCTTCTCTACCATAGTAGCTTTCTACCTACGGACTAGTGAATTTTCTTCTGAGTTCTTCACAATTGGAAATCAAATTGTCACTGCCACTTTAGAGGTAAGAGGCAAATACCTTAATGGAAGTTTCCTTTAATTTGTTCAGTAAAGTTCCAATGGCTGTATAATAATTTAGTTGGTGAAGTAGAGATTTTAGATGTTTTGTTCCTTATTATTTTTAACATACAGCCTCATCTGCTTTGGCAAAATTGTCCTAGTTTTATTGTTGCAGTAACCTTTTTATTCTAGGAAAATGGTCTTTGAATTTGTGTTAGTGTGGGCTCTGTAGTACCTGTCCACATAATGTCAAGTAGATGAGACTGGAATCTCTTCAGAGTCAGACAGGCACGGGAAGCTGTCACACGCAAAGACCAAATGAAAATACCAATTGCAACCCTTCCAAACTTCCTTCTCAGAGAGATTAAGAATGAAGAAATCACCCTCTCCACTTTCCTCCTTCCTCTCCCAGTTTTTATACTAATTATGGGCACATCACAGCAGTCTAGGGAAGCCACTGTGAACGTGCAGCTTTGTAGAATCTGACTCCAGTATGACAAAAGACATCACAGAAATGTTGTGAAACTGAAAGCCATTAGGCCTAGCTGTATGGAATTTCTATGTTTTGTGAAGTTCCATGTTATGGATTTTAGCGAGTATCACATTTGCAATGTACCATACACATGAAAAAAGGAATGGCAATTCATGACATTTTTGCAAAGAATCATTAAGTTACAGACATAATATCAAGGTATAGCTTTGCTGGCTTATTACGTAGCAGAAATCATTAGCAGTGTGAACAAGTCTATTGCCTACCATAAGTATGCATCATGGAAATGCATTAGGTAGCTAGTATTTGACCAGTGAAAAATTCTGACAGAAAATCTGATCAGCTTCAAAGGCAAAATCAAATGGCTGAAGTTTCACAGGGGAATGTGACTTCCTTCTACTGCAGAACTAAGGCCTTTCTCAGACTTCCACTAGTTCTGCTTTATACCCAAGACTGAATCCATCTCATTCCAAGGACTTGCAGAGCTGGTATTTTCAGACTATTGTTAGATAATACATTCAATGTATGAATCACAAGGCTGACTGACTACTGCCACTAGAAATCTTTTTGTAGGTTCAATTAATCCTTCCAAAACAAATGAACAAACAAGTAATTCAGAAGATATTCGCAAGTTTTGCTTCTTTAAACAGAAAATAATAGTAGCAGCTACTAGTGATTTGAATGCATTTGACTACATATTTAAAACATTCAGTTTTTTTAGGATATATCTTAGACCAATTTCAGAGTGTTGTCTTTTAATACAGTCCTGCAGGTATTTCTCATCAGACTGCATCGAGTTTTGTTTATACTGTTAGATTCTTACACATTTGCCTGCTAGAGAATCTGTTCTAACATTAATATTCATCCTGGTAACCAATACCCTCCAACTCCTAGGATTAAAGTATAATAGAAGAACTGGGCTTTGGAATGGGCTTTGGACATGGGACAACAGGTGAAATGTGTACTCAGTACCATGGATATAGTCTATTCTGTAACACTTGATTTTACTGTACATTTTTTTTTAATCAGGTTAATGTTTGATAGTTGTCTTCACCTGTGAGTACACAGAGACAGATTAAAAGCTTCCTCTGTCAGCATTCACTTCAGCATGTTATTAATTATATTCAATGTAATGAGAAATGACACTATTCCTGTCATAACAGCTTGAGCTAACAACAGCTGATGCATTCCACATTAGAGCAAAACATAGTCAAAAGACGCTTTCCTTATTCCTTCAGCAATTTGATTGACTCTCTTTTTATTTTTGAGTAATTTGTAGATATGCAAACAAACAGATTTAAACAACTGAAAATCTATGAAGTTACCGTTACGTATCAATCAATCCTCCACTTGAAGGAGGATATTGTATGATTAAAGGAAGTCAAGAGATCTGAGTGGTATTCCTGGTCCTACAACAGATTTCTTTACACTTGCTACAATTACTTTTCCCATTTGCAATTAGGTTAGTAGTACATGCATGTTCCAGAACTGCATGAGGTGCATCTGATATATTCAGAGGACTTTGAGATCTTTAGATGTGATTAAGATTTATTAAGCGTTAAACGTTTTTCTTGGAGAAATACAATTTTAGAAGACATTTAAGATTTATTATAATAATATAGTCAGTGTTAGTGTTTTGTTGATTTTGTTCTTTTTTTGTTGTTATTATCTTAAGGTGTATAAGAAAGCCATCAAAAATCTTTTGCCCACACCAGCCAAATCTCATTATACATTCAACCTGCGTGACTTTTCACGTGTTATCCATGGCTGCTTGCTCATTAAGAGAAAATCAGTGGAAAGCAAACATGTAATGATTCGTCTGTTTGTACATGAGGTATTTCGTGTCTTCTATGACCGTCTAGTGGAAGACAATGATAGAGCCTGGTTGTTCAATTTAATGAAAGATATTGTGAAAGAACATTTCAAAGAAGTATTTGATTCAGTTTTTGCACACCTGAAGCAGGGAAACACACCTGTGAGTATCACATTTACCTGTTGCAAAACAGTTGCTTTCATTATAAACTTAGGACTAGAAAGTTTCTCAATCACAGGTGACGTTTTGGATCAAATGTGCTTAAAAATTTGAGTTGAATTTGGAAAAATGGCTTCTTTAGAAAAAAAAAGGAGTAAAAACGTTTGGAAGGGTTTAACTGTTATATATAAACATCCTTTTCAAAAAATATTTCATTTAAAATGTGGGTAAACTTATTACTTCTCCATAAAAGGATTTTGTGTATCTGATAGTGAAACAAAAACTTGTTTCTTTTTCAATTAAAAAAATAGTGCTACATTTTTTCAGATTTACCCACAAAAACCTGGGGTTTTGTATCTTATGAAATTTAATTTATCAAGCGTAGTGTTTTCTTAAGCTCCTAGATGTCTGCACATAGAAATAAAGCATCCAATTAATCAGTTGGTCAGCAGAGCAACTTTTCAAAAAAATTCTGTCACTTCTTTTCTTGGAGATGTAGCAGCATGTATTGAATCTTTGGGCAGCGGGAGATAAGATAACAAACAAACAGAGTAGTTTATAAATCACTACCACAAAAGTATCTGGGTTCTGCATATGGTACTGTGCCTGCAAGGAGAAATACAAGTATGAATACTCTTAAATTGACTTCCAGAGACCTGATTTACAGGATAAAGAAACATTTGCTTTTTAAATTTAACCTGTGACTGAGTTACTGTGTGGTAAACAGCATTCTGTAATTTTTATGAAATTTTGGTATTTAAAATGTTGTATAATCATGTTATATTGTATGCTTTGTCTTCCTTTTTTCTGTTTTTCTTTTTTTCTTCCCCTGTCATTTCACTGATGTATCGAATAAATAACTTTGCGGTCTTAGTTATCCATTTCATAATATATTGACAATTGCTAAACATACATGTATAAATTTGGTGCATTCTGAAGGTCATGAGTGTGAGACTGTTAATGGCTATTTGAGCAAATTGTGTTCCAAAACCAAATTAAGAATAAGTATATTGTTTAATATGGGAAATAGAGAATTTTGAGGTGGATGTTGTCTGTGAGTCAAAATATTTCAGAGTGCTTGTTCTCGTGTCTGGAGTGTTTTGTCTAAATTCTCCTTTGTTTTCTAAAATTCTAATGCAGAATATGTTCATTAAATATTAAACTCAACTTCATAATTTGTTGAATGTTTGCCATAGGTAACAGAAGAAAACATGAGAAGCTTGTTTTTTGGTGACTACATGATTCCAGAACTTGAGGGAGATGAAAGACTTTATGTTGAAATTCCAAGCGTTCAGCTGTTCGGTGATGTTGTGGAGCAGTGTCTGGATGAATATAATCAAACCCACAAAACAAGAATGAACCTTGTAGTTTTCAGGTGCATATGATCTGTATTTATTAAGAGCTTTAAGCAGTAGTTGATAATTCCATATACCCAATTTTGTGCGCTATGGTTTTTGTATGTCTTCTCCCCCTTAACACATCCACAAAAGTGTGGTGTTACACCTTTTTGGATGGAAGTAAACTGATTTTTCTCTTATGCCCCTGCTTTTTCTATCCAAAAGTAAATAATGAGAAGTTTTCTCCTAAGGGGCTTTGAATATATTCTTTGGTTGTTAAAGAAGCATTGTGCACCAAATCAGGTGGCTGCTGTACTTCTGCTAGGCCTCTGTTACCGGTGAAGATGGGTGTCAGTTTTGCCTGCAGACTTTCATTTCACCAAGGACAAGGGTTCTAAGGTTGTGAGGTGCAGAGTGAGATATAGCACAATCATAGCCGTCTGTCTGCTCTGTTATTAGGCAGCACAGCAATGCCCCACACTGGGGCATGTACCCAGCCTGGTGCTGCCACTAATCCTGTGAAATTTTAGACTCTGCAGGCTGCTATTGTTACCTTAACTTGTGATCAGGCAGAGCCACAACTGAGACAGATTAGGAGGTCACAACTCTTTCCTCCTCCTCCCTATTGCTAGAGATTACTGCCTCTTCATATTTGCCAGTGTAACTTGACATGTAGATGCTTCGTGAAGGTGATTAGGGTTAAACACTTCTACTAGCAGCTTATTTCAGTCTAGGTCATTTTGACAAGCTGGATTTGTGAGTACCTGTATATACAACTATGCTGGGAGTTTGAAGAGCTGGCAGCCTCTGATCAGAGGCCACTTCCTGAGTGTAGAAGCAATATCCCAGTTACCTCACTGAACAGCAGCCAGGAGACCATGTCTGACTGTAGCCTGAGAGTCCAATCTCATGGATAACATCTGGATTTGACTCCTTTATTTTTCTAACCAATCAAAATAAACAAGAATTTATGTTCTTTGAAATGCTTTAACCTTTTTTTGAGACCAGTTTTAACTGCTGTTCAGCTTGCTTTAACTACCCCGTGCCCTATGCTTAAACAGGCCATCTCCTGTAGACCTTGCTGCATATTCCAAGATAAACGATGCTAGTGTTTTCACAGTAGATAGGACTCTCAGTAATGTGCAGATATCGCTTTCTGAAGATGTTGTTCCAATATCTATTAAATATGTAAGTTATAAAACACTGTCAGAGGCAGAGGGAAGGAAGAGGTTTGTTGATACAACCCATTTTTCCCCAGGTGTTCCTTTAAAAAGTATTTAAACTGTTATACTTCAAGAAAGTTGAAACTGATAATACTGTTATGATTTAGAAGCAGAGAATTTCTGTTTGTATTCTTTTTCTTCAACACCTTTATCCATATAGTATTCCTGTTCTCACCACTGCCCATTCCTTTCAGTAATTTGTAGTCAATTGTAATTTAGCTAAATACTGATATTTGTATAATAGAAGAGTTGTGAGTTTTATTTTATTTCGTAGTGCATACCCACTCCCTTTCTTCTTCTTCCTCCCCACCCCGCCCCACCTTCAGAAATTTGTTTTGGAGATGCTACTTCTATACTTGTTTCACAGATTTATAGCTGCACAAATATATATGTGTTTCTTCTATTCTGGTAATCAGCACATTTCAAATACAGGTATGTGTTGGAACATTTGTCTCGTATAAGCCGTATTCTGAAGCAGCCAGGGGGTAATGCTTTGTTGGTTGGAATGGGAGGAAGTGGACGTCAGTCTTTGACTCGTCTAGCAGCATTCATGGCAAAAATGTGTGTTTTTCAACCAGAGATTTCTAAGACCTATGGTACAAATGAGTGGAGAGAAGATCTGAAAGTGAGTATTAATAACCTGTCTGCATGTTGACAATTTTGAGGAAGGATGTTTTGGAATATACAATATTTTAACTGTCTTGCATTTTTAGGGTCTTCTGAAGAATGCAGGTGTAAAAGGCTTGAAAACTGTATTTATAATCACAGATGCACAAATTAAAGAAGAAAGCTTTTTAGAAGATGTTGACAGTGTCCTCAACACTGGGGAGGTACCCAATCTTTTTGCAGCAGATGAAAAACAAGAAATTACAGAGGTATCTTTAGAAATTCTCTTAATACCACCTCCCTTTTAAGCTATTTTGTCAGTTCAGTGTGGAGTGTGGCTTTTGGATGGATATATGTACTTAATTCTGTGACTTTTTTTGAGACCTTAGATAAATCAGCCAGTTACTAGTAAACTTTTGGAGTAGCTTATGCCTACTCCTAACTTTAATTCTGACCTGGCATTCTGTTCACAAACACATTTAAGTTGTGCACGTAAGGAACTTTGATTGTTCGTTCACAAATGCCCTGTGGCCATAGTTATTTTTTGCAGTATATTGTGCAGAAGAAGAATGTACATCATAATGTTTTCAATGATCAGTTAAGGACAAAGACGTTCTTTGAGAAAACACAGCCTGCTTTTGTCAATAGACTCTTGCTGTCTAGGGCACTGTTAGACAGAATTTCATAGTCTCGACATTTCTACTCAGAGAGAAGTTGGGGAAGGGTACTCCATGAATTCAGGCTCAGAAGTAAAGATGTAATGTACTCGGGCAATTTTTAAAAAATTTCTAACTAAAATCAGGCTTGGATTTTCAAAATAGCAGTCATTAGTTGGGAGGGAGGGGCATCCATCTTTGTATACATCAAGTTGGAAACAATGTTAGCTAACAATATTTGGAACTGTATGCTGTGCTGTCTTCATATCTCTGTGGTATGTTTACTAATAAATTACCTAAGTATGCTTCTAGTTGACATTCAAAGTGATTCTTAGTACATACACAAATGTTTTTATTGAAATAGCTATATCACTTGATAAATGTTACCGTATTGGTTTTTCTTGCACCTAAGTTGTGGAGCTTGTTGATGCCTGCATTCCATGTATTTTGCAAAGAAGTTAGATTATAATTCTAATCATCTTTCTCTATTACCGTTTCATTCTTGCCAGGTATATAATAACAATATCAAGATAATGTGGCTCTTTTAGAATTTTATTGTACCAACATATTCAGTTGATGTATGCTAGAACTTGGTAGCTATCCATAATATGCCAGCTGGAGGAAAGTTGTTTTTTACTCATTTAAATCTGCTCCATCAAAATATTTCCACTTTTACTCTATTGCTACTAAACTAATTTTTGTCATTTATTTTAATTGTGGGATTATGTAAAGTGTACATGCTTTTGTGGAAGAATAATTGGAGTTTTAGGGGTTTATAGTCAGTATTTCATGGACTGTTAATTAATTGAGGATAATAATACTTTTATGAAGTAGTCTTTAGTTTCAAATCTAGAGGTTTCTTGTTTTGAGAGATTATTGTTTTTGGTAAATGAACAAATGGAATATGTTTTGATGTTTGAAACTTAAATCTTCCTCTTCAATTAGGAAAATACAGCGTATTTTAGTATAATATTAAAGCTAAAAAAGTTCTTAGTAAGTTAATGTCTTGAAATGTTGTTTAGGGGACTTATATGGCACTTGTATGGCTCTTAAAGCATAGATGATGAGAAAAACATCTGCTTTTGTGTAATGAGAGTAGTAATTTGCCTCATCTGTTTGTATCTCCTAAATCTTTGAATGACTGAAGATTGATTGTAATTAAGCCTGATAGTTGTATTTATCATTGGAAGGCTTTGGTTCTTTATTTCTTGAAGGAGGTAATTATGAATTCTGATTTTTCAGAATGTGTCTTAACCCTCTGTCTCATCTTAATGTGTCTTATCCATCTGGAACTCATCTTGGGATGGATTTTTAGTTTTTGTTCTTATGTATTCTCAGTTGCTCAAAGCAGCAGACGATAATTTCTAGAAGGAGTTGTCAGGGTCACAGATAAATATCATAAACCTATTCTCAAATAGTATTTACTACTTGTTCTGTTTTTCTAGTTTATTCTACCTGTTTCATTTATCAATGAAAAATTTTATTTCACGGTGATGCTATCATTAACAGGATTGCTGTAGGACTTCAGAAGTGCTTAATGAGAATTTATGTAACAGTTTTTACGCTGTGTATTATTCCTAAGGGTGTTCGTGCAATAGTTCAGGCTGGCAATAAACATGAAGAACTCAGTCCCTTGGCCTTGTTTGCATTTTTTGTGAACTGCTGCAAAGAAAATCTCCATATTGTGATAGCATTCAGCCCAATTGGAGATGCTTTCCGCAATCGTCTGAGACAGTTTCCCTCACTCATCAACTGCTGTACTATTGATTGGTTCCAGGTATATGAAAATACTTATATTGTTTCCTCAACAAACTACTTCAGTTTTGTAACAAACTATATTTTCATGTCCCATTGGATTTGCTCTTACCTTCTGTATAGAAGTACCCAATGTTTTTCAAAATTTTAAAATAGCATAGGCATTTTTTGTAATATTTTGGGAGCTCTTTGGTGTGCAATCTCAGCATTTCCACAACTGCAAAACTTAAATTTTGTTGCTACAAATTTTACATTTCTGAAGTAGTGAATAGTCTCAGTTTGGTGATGGTAATTTGTTATTTTATCGCATAATGTGTATGTTTTAAAGGACTAGTGAAACCATTTCAATGTGATTGTAAAATAATCATAATTTCTGTTGCCTGTTAAGCAGATCAGGCATCATGGGAATGACTAGCAAATACAAGTCCTGTTGTCTATCAGTAGATCTTTTATAGCAGAATAAAACTTGGAAAACTACTGTAGTTAATAGTCCTTAATGTAAGCAGTGTTGCTCTCAATAAAGTGCAGTTAGCTCTATAGCTTGGCCTGGTGCTGACGTCAATTAATTTCTCTGCCAAAGGATGACATAGACACAGAAATGTTTGGATAGAATGGCAATATGTAGCTTTTAACTAGAAGATCAGCCAGGAGTTGCCAGACAAGGTTATGTGGGTAGTGACCTTGCTGCCTGATATAACCCTTATATCAGTTCATTGTTCTTGAGACATAGTTGGGACCAGTGTGTCTCATTCTGGTGTTTTGAATGGTAAAAATTGGTTTTAAAGTATGAGGACTGCTAACAGCTGAATTGTACAAATGCTTCTCTCCTCACTTCTCCCTCAGCTGTGGCCTGAAGATGCCCTTGAGCGTGTGGCTAATAAGTTCTTAGAAACACTTCAGCTCACAGACAGCGAACGTCAGGAAGTTGTGCCCATCTGTAAATACTTTCATACTTCAGTTCTGTCACTCTCTGTAAGGTCAGTCTGTTTCTTTTGAAAACAACTCATTAATTTATAGAAATATTAAGAGGGAAAAGATTGTGCTGTTGAAAGTAGTAAACTGAGCAACAGAGAACTCAAAAGTTGAATTTTTAGAAGTAAGAGACAACAAAATAGTAGGTGATTGAGTTTCATTACTACTCATGTCTGTCTTAAAAGTTAATGTATGCTACCTGCCGGCATAAAAATATTATATAAAATTATTGAAATTGTTTACTCCTATGATTTGTCAAACAGTAACATAACTTTGCTAACAATAGTTAAACTAAAAAAAGAAAACAAAGCTTAAAGGTACTCTTTGTTTTTTAATAGGTTCTTGCAAAGTCTGGGACGCCATAATTATGTTACTCCTACTTCTTATCTTGAGCTTATTGCTGCGTTTCGGAAACTTCTTACTCAGAAGCGAGACACTGTAATGAAAGCCAAGAAGAAATACGTGAACGGACTAGATAAACTAGCTTTTGCTGAATCACAAGTGCGTTAGGAAAAAAATGGAACTGAAAATACAAAATGTTTGGCAAAAGCAGGTCTTTTCCTGGAGAAGTCAGTCAAAAGCATTACTTCAGATTTTGTTTAGCTCAACCTTCAACAGTAAAACGATAAGAAATGTGTTTTGCCTTTTGTTTCCTACAGTCATAGCAGCTGTGCTAGAGGCCACAGACCTCTAAGCCTGTATTGCTAAGCAATATATGAACAGAGCTGCTCTTTCCTAAATGGTTAACAGGTGACTGTAAGTGAACATAGTTCTTAAAATTAGGGGTTGTATATATGGGATAAAAATAAATCTCTGAAGTGTTTTGATTTGAAACTGAGTGTTATTTCCTTCTATCAATAAATTAGTCATTAGGTAAAATCTAGGTCTTATAGAAATTGTTGGAAATTGTACTTGGCACTTCTGAATCCTACCTGATTGTTTTACATGCGTGTAGGTTGGTGAGATGAAACAAGAACTAGTTCAGCTGCAGCCCAAACTGGAAGAGGCTAAATTGGATAATGCAAACATGATGAAGGTACAGTTATACAAATACAACTTTGTGGTTTTTAATGTAAGCGTGTGTATACTTGGGATCCATAATTTCACCTTCGTAATAATTAGCTTTGAATGAGGAATCTTAATTGTACGATGTACTTCTGCTTCAGTATCTCAGCTGATTGTAGACAGGTTCTAAAGAATATGCATGTATGAAGTTGCTGATACGTGACTTTCAGAAAATAAGAGTTAAGTTCAGGTTTTTGAGCTCACTTCTTGTTTACTGGGGTTTGCAGTATTGTGAAACTTGACACTATTTATGCTTATATCCCTAGAACTGGAAGAAAATTGTGTTCTTTATGTAAGACACAGACTCTGGATATGCAGTCCTTGCCTAAGCTCTGTGCTGAAGGATGTTAGAGGAACTTTCATGCTAGTAGTGGTTAGACCTGATTTCCCAAGATCATTCACAAAGACTGCAAAACCCACAAATAGTTCTTCAGCATACAAAATAAACAAGAACAGTTTTGCACAGTCTGTCTTTGCATGCATAGGGATTATACACTTGATATTTAAAAGGATCCTAAAAAGGATTAACTTCATAGAAATTTAGTGGGATGTAGGAGCCAATCTCTTAGATGTTTTTGAAAATTCTGACTTGCAAAAATACACTTACCTAGTATGTTACTGTTGCATCACAAAAAAGCAAGATTTGATTGACATTTCTATGCACTTGCTTCTGATTTGTAAGTGATTTTACAGATACAGTGATACCTCTTCTGCCTACTCTTACAAACCTCTAAGAAAACTCTGTCACTTATGTGGAACTGAAAAGGGAGTATGTGGATGAAGGCTTGACTCATCACTGAAAATAAAATAAATTTCAGTAATCAATGTTATAGACTATGAAGATATGAAAACTCACTATAAAAGCTAGTCATGTTTTAGTTACAACCTGATGCACAAACATGAAGAGTTTCTTGTCTTCTGAACTTCATATTTTAAATAACTTTTATTGACAGTAATCTGATTTCATGCAGTTTACCTACTGTTAAAGCTCCATGATGATGTTGCATTATGCTAAGCAACAAATTATTCCCTTAACATAAATTGAAAAAATATTAAAATATTGAAATACTTCAGTTTTCTCTTTGTATTTTATAGTATTCCATAAGTGCTATACTAGGTAATTTCACTTTATTTGATCATTCACTGCTCAATAGGAAGCTCACCCACATGTTTTTCTTTAGACTATAGAAATAGAATCTGCAGAAGTAGAACAAAAAAGAAAAACTGTAAAAGTAGATGAAGAAATTGCTACAGAAAAAGCTGAAGAAGCTCAGACGTTGAAAAATGAATGTGAGAGTGACCTGGCAGAGGCAATCCCAGCCCTGGAGGCTGCACTTGATGCTCTCAACACCTTGAAGGCAAGCTGATCTAAACTTCAGCATTTGGAAGAGTTATTTAACACAATTTTTTTAGTGCACTAAGATGAAAAGACTTTCAGAAGTGTTAAATTTCCTCGGTTTTGGCAAAGGAGAGGACCTGTACAGTCATTGTTCAGTGTATTTCCTCTTCATGTACTCAGAATATGAAGAGGGGGTGCATTTAAAAAATTGTTGATTTGCAAGAAAGCCCCCTTGTGGGAAAAGTAACCAAAACCTGAAGTTTTGAAGTTTGAATTTCCTCTTTCAGCTAAGTTAATGTTGACGGCCAGTGTGTAACATGGCAGTTGTTTATGGCTAAGAATTATCTGGATCTTTGGTTTAAAAGTTTTGTCCTTGTCATGACTTACACATGATGTGAAAGCAGCATTGTTGAGAAAGTCCTGCAGGAATTTAGTATAGTAGGAGGTAGTTCAGTAGGAGTTGTGAAGTATATGAGTTGTCTTAGATGACACCTACAGAAGTATATAAAAAAATATTCTGACCTCGACTTTTTTGAACATAATTTTAATTAATCATTAGTTCACAGTTACTAGCATTTATTTCATTTTTGTTTCCCCTGCATAGGATACGTTGATGGATATTGTTAACTGTCTTGCTAACACTGTGTGATCCCTTCTAAAAGTCCTCTGTAATAATGTTAATTGATAATGGTGTTATAATTTCCCGTTTTTTCTGTTAGTTCGGTTTATATTAGTGGTGAGAAAGGCATAACATTTGTCATAATTTTTTTAAATGTGATTTTTATTTTAGCCTTCTGATATATCAATTGTCAAATCAATGAAAAATCCTCCATCTGGTGTCAAACTTGTCATGGCTGCTGTCTGTGTCATGAAAGACATAAAACCTGAAAAAATTGCAGATCCTTCAGGGACTGGAGGCAAGGTAAAATGGCAGACAATAGTTTCAAATAGAAGTGTAATTCATGTTCTTATAAACACAGAGCACTTGTTCAATAAACAAGATCACCCAAGGTCCACTAAGGTAGGCAAGTACTTACAGCCTCCATCTATTATTTTACTGAAAACTTCCAGAATTCCAAATTCTCTAAGTTTTGTAATGTGCAAAGAGAACACATCTAATTTGCTTGACTCATGTACAGATAATAGATAATACATAACTCTTTCCTGAGACACTGTTCAGTTTTTGGCTTTAGGTATGGTTTGGGGAAAATGTTTGATCAGATAGACTTTCTCCTTTATTGATGTCTCAACGAGATACAAGGTCATCAGTATTAAATATGCATGAGTTTTAATTAAAAGAGATTTGTAATTTTTTGTTTGTGTGTTTGTTTTAAAGCTTGAAAAGATATTTCCTGCTGTGTTTTCTAGATTTTGGATTACTGGACTCCAAGCAAGAAACTGCTTGGTGACATGAATTTCTTAAAGGATTTGAAAGAGTATGACAAGGACAATATTCCAGTAAGACTTCTGTCTAATTTTTCAGTGATTTTTACCATGTAGACACTTTCTTGCGGGGGGGGAATAAAATTAGAAAATACTATATCAGAGGCCCCATTTGTCCCAAGTTAGTCAACTTCTGTTATGACCAAGGGTCTTCACAATATGATAGGGTATCTCTATAGGATGAGTATGGTCATGGCAAGTGAGTCAAACTTCCTCAGGGTGAGCCTTCTAAGTGGCATTTCAGAAGGCTTTAGAATTCCCTTTGGGAATTTCTAAGGCTTCTATATAGCCTGTCTTTTATTTGAATGAAATGTCCTTCTGTGCACAAATGTTTCTAACTTTGCAATTAATAGGTAGTATCTCATCAAAATGTAAAAGTACACATAAAAAAACTGTATCAGAGTAAATAGTCTGTTCTGTCCATTATCCTGTGTCCAAAAATGGCTATAAGTAGGTGCCTTGGAAGGAGTAGGAGCAGTATATATAATTTCTCCAAATACTCTTCCAGCCTCTGGCACTTTAAATGAAGGACTTCCAAAGCTGAATGTAGTTTCTGTGTTTACTAGCTTTCAGTGGATCTCTCTTCTCTAATTTCTCTAGTCCCCCTAAGCCCACATAAGTTTTCTGTATCTACAAGATCTTTTTACAAAGCATTCCAGAAGTCTACTTTAAGTGGTATGAAGAGCTGCCGCCTTCTGTTTCTTCTGAACCTGGGTCCTTCTAGCCTCATTTCATGTATTCTGGCTTGGGTTTTGGTTGGGGTTTTTTTGTGGAACCAGGGAAGATTTGATCCGTGTCCAAACTTTCTATGCTTTTTTTTTTTTTTTTCCCTGTACTAGTTTTTCTAAATCAATTACTCTGGCATTATAAACTTTTTTTCTATTTTTAAATAACTGCCCCCATTGGTGCTCTTCTTAATGGCTGTTTCTAATTGTATTATTTTGATTGAATGAGTGCTGCCACAAAATGAGTAATATTTTGTTAAGTATACTAGAATGTGTACAATAAATGCAGAAATGTACTAGCTGTAAAACTTTATTTAAAATATTACCATCTCCCCCAAAGATCTTACGATCCAAGAGTATGATTCTTGCCATTTGCCCAATTTAGTGGAGATTGAATACGCTTTGCCCTTTATAAAATTGGTCCCCAAAAGTAAGCACAAGCTAATTGTGTCTTGGGAAAAGATAGTAACTAATGGAAGTAGCATGTTTTGCACAAGGGACAGCATAAAGTAAGGCTTCTATGTGACTGTAATGCTCTTAGCATTTACGTAGCTGCCACATGGAAGACATACCAAATGCATGATTATAAAGGATAAGGATAGGATTAGGATGAAAACAGGAAAAGACCACAAAGCATGATAGGAAAATCAAAAGAAACAAATGAGCAGTGGTTTCTACCACAATTAATACTGAGTAGTTCTTTCCTATTTCATTGTGTAGAGAAATGGCAATCAATCAGTGTAATTTTAAAGTGTCAGCCACAAGACTTTGATGAGCTACAATGCTTTTGTTATCCAGGCAGCTGTCATGCAGAAGATTCGGGCTGAATACTTGACTAATCCTGAGTTTGATCCACAAAAGGTGGCTAAAGCTTCCTCGGCAGCAGAGGGTTTATGCAAATGGATTATGGCAATGGAGGTGTATGACAGGGTTGCAAAGGTGCGTTTTTGATCTTAGTCCCTCCGTGCTATGAAATCTTTCTTTTGCTTGCTATATCCACCCTAAGCATTGTATTAAATAATAAAGTTACAAATGCTTAAAGCACATTTTTGTGTATTGGTTATAACCGAATAGGTAGTTGCACCGAAGAAAGATCGTTTAAGAGAGGCACAGCAGTCCTTAGCAGAGACACTGGCACTCTTAAATCAGAAGAGGGAAGAACTTGCAGCAGTTGAAAATCGTCTGGCTGCTTTGGAACGAACCTTCACTGAGAAAACTGAAGAAAAGGCTCGTTTAGAATTCCAGGTTGATCTGTGTGCTAAAAAACTAGAACGAGCAGAGAAGCTGATTGGAGGCCTTGGCGGAGAGAAATCAAGGTCAGGTTAAAGTTCAAATATCTCATATAACAGCCATTGTAGAAAAAGAATTTGAACATCAGTTCTCTGAGGTGTATCTCTGTTTGAGGGCTGTACTGCTGAAAAGTTTAAGAGTCTGGGCCCTCGAAAGATTCCTAATTGTTTTTAATGTAAAAATATGGGCAGCAGCATTGGGAGAATTGTAGAGAAAGTCTTCAAAGTGAGAATAAAGTACATAAACACAGGGTCCTTATTCTCCACCTGCAGTTCAGTTAAAAAACAACAAGGTTGATTTCTGTCGTCAATATCATTAATGTGAAGGTTTCAGCACTGGTTTTTTTCTGTATTTTCTGCTTGTTATAGATGGAGTAATGCTGCAAATGATCTTCAAGACACATATGATAATTTGACAGGAGATGTTCTGATATCAGCTGGTGTGATAGCATATCTGGGAGCTTTTACTGCTGGATTTCGACAAGAATGTACCAAAGATTGGAGCAAACTGTGCAAGGTTAGAAGGTTATCTTAAATTTAACTGTTTGCTTTTTTTGGACTACTGCAAAAGGCTTCAAAAATCCCTTGTTGTTTATTTAATATTAACCTAGTAAAACTCATTAAGAACAATGGGATAAATTCTGCCGATCCAATGTTCTGTAAATTTGAATTTAATTAAATCAGTGAATAGGTTGAGTAACTTAAAATAGTGTATCAGAAATGAGAGCACATCATTGACTTTGTAAGGCTTGATTATTACTTAAATAAAATCTCAGAATTTTCTCTATTTTGCCTTTAAATGAAAGAATTAACTTTAAAATGCAGTTGCATCTAATGTAAAAAAAAATTCTATAATAACTTACACTGTCACATATTTATATGTTAGTTAAATGGTTGATTATGCTGTTTGCAAAGGGACAGTTTCAACATACTTATACTAATGCCATAATTCATACATCAAGTGATTTGAAGTCACTGATTGTGACATTAAACAGTAACAAATCAGCATTGGATTACTGCATTGGGTTAATGGAAGATGTAGTCATTAGATGATTTCCAACTGTGTGTGAGTTTCTTAAGGTAATGCATTGTCATAACTTCATGTAACAAACCCACATTTAGAATGTACAAAAGAAATGGAAAAATCCTACAAAATTTGGAGAGAGAGTACATATTCAGTGGGGAAATATAGCTAGCTATTAAAACTATGATTTTATTTTTCCCAGGATTTTTGCTTATACTGGACCTATTTCAGACTCTTAAAAGGAAATGCACATTGTCACTTTGGATTGAAGTGGCATTTAGTAAAAGATGTAACATGGAATGAAGATAAATGGGGTTTTCTTTTCTTTTCTTATTTTTTTTTTTCCCCAGGAGAGAAATATCCCTTGTTCTGAGAATTTCTCTTTGAGTAAGACTCTTGGTGACCCAATAAAAATAAGAGCCTGGAATATTGCTGGTTTGCCAACTGACATATTTTCTGTAGACAATGGGGTCATTGTTGACAATTCAAGGCGTTGGTAGGTGACAAAAAGGTTTAATTTTCCAAATCCAAACAAGTTTTCACTTTTTTAAAAAAAGCAAACTAAATATCTAGAGACAATGTGGCTTCTGTAGAGACAATATAATTGAAAGTAGGAGTGGAATCTTTATATCCAGCTCCTGTGAAATTTAAGAGGTACAACACTTTAGGGATTTGTGTATGTAGTTACTTGAAAGCTTTCCTTCCAGGAGATGCAGTGCTCTTGGATAAAGGGGTTTTTTTTTTTCCTTTTTCCTTTTTTTTCCTTTTTCCTTTTTTTTCCTTTTTCCTTTTTTTTCCTTTTTCCTTTTTTTTTTCCTTTTTTCTTTTTCCTTTTTTCTTTTTCCTTTTTCCTCTTTTCCTTTTTCCTTTTTTCTTTTTCCTTTTTTCTTTTTCCTTTTTCCTCTTTTCCTTTTTCCTTTTTTCTTTTTCCTTTTTTCTTTTTCCTTTTTCCTCTTTTCCTTTTTCCTTTTTTCTTTTTCCTTTTTTCTTTTTCCTTTTTCCTCTTTTCCTTTTTCCTTTTTTCTTTTTCCTTTTTTCTTTTTCCTTTTTCCTCTTTTCCTTTTTCCTTTTTTCTTTTTCCTTTTTTCTTTTTCCTTTTTCCTCTTTTTCTTTTTCCTTTTTTCTTTTTCCTTTTTTCTTTTTCCTTTTTCCTTTTTTTCTTTTCCTTTTTTCCTTTCCCTGCCTCGCTTACATTTCCAGTCTTATACTAGCTCATATACCAGCATCTCAGATTTAAATTGCAACTAATTGTTGATTTTTATTTTTTAAGTGAAAAAATATATGAGAAAGAACTCAAAATTTGTAAAACTAAATAAATTCTCAATACTGAGAATTCCAGGGGAGAGGCAGAACAAGATTTTACAAGAATTCTGAATTCTAGTGTATTTTATGAAAAATGTTATGAACATTTTTTGCGACTCTTAAAACTATTTTTGGTATTACTTTTCAAATTATGATAAAACACCTGTACATCTATTTTTCGCTGATCTCTTAAAATAACAGAATCAAAATTGTATCGCTTTTTCCTTGACTGCCTGACACAGAAACATTTTAAAATAGTTTAAAATTTTGAAAAACTTCTGCAAGCACTGAGAAGACTGTCTTGTATGTTCTAGGCCATTAATGATTGATCCTCAAGGTCAAGCAAATAAATGGATCAAGAATTTTGAGAAGGAAAACCACCTGAATGTTATCAAGGTCAGTGACACAGATTATATGAGAACCGTGGAGAACTGCATTCAGTTTGGAACTCCACTTCTGCTGGAAAATGTTGGAGAAGAACTAGACCCATCACTTGAACCTCTGCTACTTAAACAGACTTTTAAACAAGGTACAAGAAAATGAATTTTGAACCCTGTAAGTAGATTGCATTAATGTTCATCTTACGGTCTGTGGTACTGTCTGATGTTTTTTTTGCTACTCTCTGTTTTACCGCTGCCTGTGGTAAGAGGAAGCTAATTTCACAACAGCCCTAAGTTTTATTTTATTTTTTAATAAGTATCATTCATATGTCACATGATGGTGGTTTTATTTGAAAACCTTCACCATGTCACTACAGGAGACTAAATGAAGACACGATTCTGCAAAGGGAAGACTGTCAATGAAATGATGTTTTGCTTGTTCATTTTCATATGTTTTAGTCTAATGCTAATATTTACTAAATTTTGCACAAAACAAGAAAAGCTATCAGCATTTTGCTTAAGGCACAGTTTTTCTGTGTTTCTCTGAAACTTGCTAAGTAGCTATGGCGTTGGTTTTCAACTTTTCTTTCTTTTCCTCCTGGAAAAGGCAGAAAAATGCAGATAAACACAAATATGTTTTCCTTGCTTCTTACATAGATTAGCTTTACTGGTTTTCATGATCATACATTAAGGGGGGAGGGGGCACGGGGAAAGCTCAAACACTTTTTTTCTTATTTTTTTTCCAGGTAATTCAAGGAAAGAGTAGTCCTTAAGAATATCATATTTGAGAATAATTACACGGCTCTCTCTTACCATCTCCAGTATTGTATATGCACATTGATAGTACAGTAGTAATTGGATTGACTCGATTTAATCTGCTAAGAGTAAAATGTGGCCTCACTGAAGTGTGTGAGAATTTCTCAGAATATCAGATTTATTTATTTATTTATTTCTACTTTTCAGGAAATTTGTCATTGACAAGAAATTTGCTATTATTTAATCACAAAAGTAATTTTTTTTTTTCTGTAAGTAATTTGAAGTAGGGAATGGTTTTCTTAACATTTCTCATCTTAACTTTAGGAGGCATGGAGTGTATCAGGCTTGGTGAGACCATTATTGAGTATTCCAGTGATTTCAAGTTTTTTATTACCACAAAACTGAGAAATCCACATTATATGCCTGAACTTGCTACAAAAGTTTCTTTACTCAATTTTATGATAACACCAGAGGGACTTGAAGACCAATTGCTAGGTATTGTTGTAGCGAAAGAGAGGTAAGTCTTTATGGCAAATAGCCATTAAAATTTTTTATGGCGTAATTCCAAGGAAATGAGAGATGAATTTATTGTAAAGCAAAATGAATGTTACATGGTGTAAATGTTACTCAGTAACAGCTTTAAAAAAAAAAAAGTTGTTTTTCTAGTTTTCATATCTAAAACGCTTGTTAGGGAAACAGATTGTCATGTTTACTGTGGGGTAAGTGTCCACAAGTTAAATAAAATAGCAGATGTTATGTCATTGTTTTCTCATGACAATTTTCTCCTGAACTATTCCTTGAATGTTAGAAAACTGTGTAAATATTATTTGAAGTTTAAATCATTATTGTGATTTTTGCAATGTGACTGAGCTGCCAGACGAGGTTGCAGAATTATGAGGATTTAGTTTTAATTTCATATAAAATAAATGCACAGTACCTCTGAAACTGGTTATGGGTCTTATCTGAACCCTCACAGAGATACAGAGAAGTAGTATCTGGGTTGTACAGAAATGTCTATGCAATTGAAAGTGTTTCCAGCAGTAAACTTGTTTTGCATATTAGATGGTGTTTTTTCAGGCAGCAGGGATATAATAAAGGAAAACTAGGATGCGCTGACATTTGCAAAATGCTAAGATGTTAAAGTTTAGACCATCATTTCCACATACCGAACTAAAGTTATGCAAAGAAGTCTATACTCAGAATTATAAATATATGCTGAACAGTAACAACCTATTTAAACTGAAGAGAATATTCACAAATATTTATTGTAGGAAGAGGGAGTCATCTTTATGGGCTTCATTTACAGTCAGTGGAAGATGAGCATCGTCTGGTTTTGTTGTATGTGTTTTTCTTCATTAGACCAGAATTAGAAGAGGAAAGAAATGCTCTCATCCTTCAGTCTGCAGCCAATAAAAAGCATCTAAAAGAAATTGAGAAGAAGATTTTAGAAACCTTACATTCATCTGAAGGGAATATTCTAGAAGATGAGACTGCTATTGAGGTCTTGGATTCTGCTAAAATAACAGCTAATGAGATCACAAAAAAACAGCAGGTAAGGAATGTGTATGTGTGCTTTCCTTAACAATACAGAGAAATTGAATGCTAAAATTTGCAGCTAGCAGAAGGACTGTGAATTAGAATGCAAAGCATAAGGAGGAAATTCTGTGCTTGTGAAATGTGAAGAGAAATAAAATTGAATCTGTTCTAGAATCTTCACTGATAGTTTATTCAGTCTTTAATTTAAAATGTTTTAAAGAATGTGTATGTATCTATAAGGACTGAGTGAAAAGTAATAAATTCTGAAGCTAAGGTAACATGCTAAGATAAAGAAGGAACTATTTTTTTTTAAAACAACAAAAATATTCAGGGAGACATTAATAATCTGGGTGACTAATATAGGTATGCAAGCACAGATTCTTTTGTTATACTTAATGCATTAAATACCATCTGAAGTCAATGAGACCTAAATAACATTGGTAAGAGAATAAAGGTTTTTTTTACATTTTTTCTAATTACTGTAGACTTAACAGAAATCAAATATTAATGTTTTCTTTAAGCTGATGTTTGCCTTACTGCTATTTGTTAATGACTATCAAATGTAATCGCAGAATTTGTCTGATGGTCAAATTTTGAAAAACCTTTTTATATTCAAAGTATTGTTTTGTATAAAGCTGATTTATGGTAGAATAAGTAGAGCTTAAACACATAACCAGTCTGAAATTAGTCGTATTTTTGAACACTGCAGAGATAGATTGATACTTCTGGTGCTAAATGATGCAGCAAAACTGTTGTGCCTCCTTTGTCCTTTGTTTTGACTATTTCATCCTGTAGTATAGGTGAATGGATCAGGCAGTACTGTGTTAGGGGCAAGTACCCATTTTACCTAGTGTAGTCATTACCTACTGTGATTGTGCCTTCTGGAACATAAAAGTTGTCTTACTCTGGTGTTACAAAGTGCTGTATAGAAGTATTTTAATAATGGTATTAAGTAGTAATTGTGTACAAAGAATATTGAAAACCTGTCTTTATCCACTACTATTGATATTTAGATTGCAGAGAAAACGGAACTTAAAATAGCTGAATCTCGAGAAGGCTATCGACCTATTGCAAAGCATTCATCGGTGCTGTTCTTTAGTATTGCAGACTTGGCAAACATTGATCCCATGTACCAATACTCCCTTAGCTGGTTTGTTAACCTCTTCATCAACTCTATTCATGATAGGTAAATACAGTCTTTCTGGTGTAAAATAAGGTGTTTTCATTCTCTTCTTATGAACAGTTCTGTCCATTTTCGTAGAATCATAGAATTGTTTAAGTTGGAAAAGACCTTTAAG